TTCTCCCTGACGGCAAAGAAGTAAAAGGGGGCAGCTTTCTGGCATTCCTCTATACTTAGGGAATCTCTGCAACTAGTCGAAAACTCATACTCAAAAAGATGTACAAACATGTACAAGGATGTTTTGTCCTTGATAGTAGGGACTAAAATTTCTAGACACCATGGTAGAATTGCTGTTACAGAGAAACTAAGTGCTATGGATCTGTGGTTTCAGGTGAAATAGAAAAAGAATGAATTTAGAAAACTGGAGGTTCAGGTTAGAAGGCTATGTGTTCTGAACAAGGGAATGAACATCTTTTGATGATTTTATGTTGTATGAATCCAAGCCACAAAGCTGAGCTGGGATGCATTAGCTTCAATAGCAATAAATCTGATTTGAAGTCAAAGTTGGTTCTAATCAAAGGTAACTTACTCTAACCAAGAACACAGAAAACAAGGAAGGTGAGCTCATCTTGCACCTAATGAGTTTATACTCATTGAGAATATTACAATCTAAATTTCTTTTATATACCTGTCACCTGCTTTTACACAATCCTCTAAGACAGTGGTCCTCAACACTGCACATAAGAATCATGCTAGGGCAGGGCTGCTCAAATTTTACTGTACATAGGCATCATCTGGGGATCTTGTTCCAATTCAGCAAGTCTGGAGTGGAACCTGAGTCTACATTTCTAACAAGTTTAAAAATGAACCCCATGTATAACTAGTCCTCATATAACAACCTGCACAACAAGAACCTATAGAACTTTCAGGAGTTGCCTGAATCCCACTCCTGAAAGACATAATTATCTGGAGATAAAACCTGGGCATTTATATTTATAAAAAGCTTCCCTGGTGTTTCTAATGCCCATTTAATGTGCCATGCTACAAGTCATTATTTATATTTTACAAGTGGGGGAGGGGGTCCCAGTTTTAGCTAAGATGGAAAAAGCACACTCCACCCTATCTTGTCTATTGATTACAACTAAAAATACATAAAGCAAATATTCAAGGACTTTGAAAAGCAAGTTGAAGCAAGCAGACAGGAGAGAGAAAGCAAAACTCAAACAGTAGTGAGTTTCTTGGTTTTTTTCTCCTACATGTGTCAGCTTAGACTTGAGGACAGCCTAAATCTCATTAACTGTGCAGTGAGTGGAGACAGAGAAAAGTTCCAAGAGAAACTCATTCTGGCTAAAGAACCAGAAAAGACAATGAATATGGGAGGGATAGTGGAGAGGGGTGAATATCTGGTAATTTTTCTTCTCTCTCAATTCTGCCAGAAGGCAAGCCCCAATTCTGAGGCTGCACACCTGTGGCTGTCTCCTAAACTCTAAAAGAAAGCTCTTTCAGCTGAGCATCGTGGCTCATGCCTGTATTCCCAGCACTTTGGGAGGCTAAGGCAGGCGGATCATGAGGTCAGGAGTTTTGAGACCACCTTGATCAACATGGTGAAACCCCATCTCTACTAAAAATACAAAATTTAGCCAGGTGCGGTGGGCATGGTGGTGCATGCCTATAATCCTAGCTACTTGGGAGGCTGAGGCAGAAGAATTGCTTGAACTCAGAACTCAGGAGGCAGAGGTTGCAGTGAGCTGATATCTCACCACTGCACTCCAGCCTCAGCAACAGAGCAAGGTTCCGCCAAAAAAAAAAAAAAAAGTCTTCTGACAACAGAACTAGGAAAAAGATAATTATCTGAAGAGTATGGAGGAGGAATTCATTTTATTTTTTTCCTTTCACTTTTCTCTCTCTCCACATTTTGTTTGGGAAACAAACCCCTCTGCAGAAAATGTATGAAAGCACAGAGAAGCTAAAATCCCAGTTTTCTCGCCAAAGAACCATGAAAAGAAACTCTGGGGACCATCTATACAAAGGAAATCATGGAGAGGAGAAAAGTCCTCTAAATTTGTGTATACAATCTCAAGTTCGCCACCAAGATGCCCATGTGAGGAACTGACCCAAGGCAGCAGAGCAAATGCTTTGAGAACTGCACAACAACATGGATGGCACATCTAGAATATTAACAGCAATAGGAAGGTTTTGAAAACCAAGTTCAAATTGGACCCACAGCTCACAGAGGCAGTCTGAACCTAACCAGGTTGACTCCCCACTAAAACGAAACCAAAAAGATTTTGCAGGATTTTAACAGCACCCAGTCTTGTAACAAAATATTCAAATGTCCATGATATATTCCAAACTTACAAAGGTAATATGTAATTCCAAATTACATATTTTTACAAATGAAAAACAAAGAAGCTAAGACGTCTAACGTCACACAAGGGCTAAAACTGTTTCCTGCCGGGGGCGGTGGCTCAAGCCTGTAATCCCAGCACTTTGGGAGGCCAAGGCGGGTGGATCATGAGGTCAAGAGATCGAGACCATCCTGGTCAACATGGTGAAACCCCGTCTCTACTAAAAATACAAAAAGTCAGCTGGGCATGGTGGCGCGTGCCTGTAATCCCAGCTACTCAGGAGGCCGAGGCAGGAGAATTGCCTGAACCCAGGAGGCGGAGGTTGCCGTGAGCCGAGATCACGCCATTGCACTCCAGCCTGGGTAACAAGAGCGAAACTCCGTCTCACAAAAAACCAAAACAACAACAACAAAAAACTGTTTCCTAACTATATACCCAGGGCTTTCTCCACAGCCAGGTGATCTTGCTAGACAGCACAGTAATCCCAAAGTTAAGGGCTTAAGATACTGAGCCAAATTAATTATTTAAACCTGAATCTGACCAAATGACAGAAATAAAAAGAGTGTTTATCTGTTTTGCTTTCTGATCTATCTAGAGTTCAAATATGAAGACGTGTGTGTGCCACAGAACATAACAGGTCAGAGGTACAAGAGAAAATCTCAAGGTGATTAGTCTTCGGAAGATGAGACTGCTTCTCCAGGCAGTGTGCTCACTTTACCAGCAAAAAATATTCCAGCTTAGGGCACTTATTTTTTAAGACTTAAAGATTCTGCTCAAACTCAAACTCCTTTTTGAAATCTTTCCTCTCTAAGGAAGACCATGTTCCCTCCACAGTGATACCATTTCATAGTAATAGTCTTTGTAATACTTTCTGCACTGCTTCTTTGCCTGTTGCTCACCTGCTATGAAATTTTCGAGTTGTTTAAGGGACATCTTATTCATTAATTCATCTCCTGGGTCTAGCATAGTACATAATAGGTACTCAGTATGATAAACTGTCCTTTTTTTTGAGACAGGGCCTTGCTCTGTCACCCAGGCTGGAGCGCAGTGGCACAATCATGGCTCACTGCAGCTTCGACCTCCTGGGCCAAAGCAATCCTCCCACTTCAGCCTCCCGAATAGCTGGGACCACAGGCATGTGCCACTACATTCAGCTAAATTTTTTACATTTTTGTAGAGAAGGGAACTCCCTAATGTTTCCTAGGCCGGGCCCCTGTTTATTAAGCTTTGACAATGCACCAAATACTATGTCAGGCATTCTGCATGTTATTGGAATTAGTCTTTATAAGCCTATGAATCTTCCTTTCAGATGAGAAAAGTATGCAATTGAGGTAAAGTAACCGGCCTGGGGTCACATATTAATAAGCCTCAGGCTTATTAAATGAATTCATGGAGGTTTGTTTTGCAGTAGAAACCAGTATCATCTGGGGAGTTTGATTCTCACTTTTGTAAGTTTTGTGGATTTCCATTATTCCACCTCTGTCCTAATCATAGATATCAAAAGATAATCTAGCTGTGGATATATCAGCTAAAATGCTAAACCAAAATTAAAGAATATTCTTAATTCTTTTGTTTTATTTACTCCCCTAGGCATCAAAGGGAAAAAAAACGTTTCTAGGCAACCCATTCAGGACAAAGAATATGTTCACAATGAAACAGATACAGGTTAATGCCCTTTTTGGCCTTAGCCCACCTGCATCCAGGTAAAAAAAAAAAAAAAAAAAAAGAACAGATATAAAACCAAAACTGAAGAACCCTGAAAGAAGCTAAAATTCTGTAATTACGTAGGCAAATGGATTTATTTCCTACTGTTTCGGATTTTGATGGTGGTAGGGAAGGAGTTACTGCAGTAGCAGAAGACAAAAGCATGGTAATTAATAGCACAAACTTAATTCCTTGCTAGCTGGGCAACTCTGGGCAAGTAACCTTTTAGAGCCTGTTTTCCTGATGGGTAAATTATTAGAAATAATACCACTTCTTTTTTGGTTTTTTTCTTTTCTTTTCTTTTTTTAAAGAAGAAGAAGAAACACAGTCTGTGTTGCCCCAGGCTGGCCTTGAACTCCTGGGCTCAAGCAATCCTCCTGCCTCAGCCTCCCAAGTAGCTGGGACAACAAGCACAAGCCATTGTGCCCAGCATCAAAGGATTGCTGTGAGCCTTAGATAAGACACAAACTACATATCACAATGCCAAGCAGTTGGCAGGTTGTTATTAGAAAAATGTCTAGCAAGTACAAAAATCACTTTGTTTCAAGGTAACAGGTATTGATCCATCCCATTCAATAACCAGTAGAATTTCCTCTGAACACTACTTCAGTTCATCTTTCCTAGCTTTCTCCCTATTTATTACAGCAGCCCACTTCACACTGTGCATGTCACCTGTACCTCTGCTAGTACAACACTACTGCTGTAAGAGCAGAGTAAAGCGTTCTACTAGTAACCTGCAGCATCTCCACCAGTCTAAAATATAAGCCCACTGAACAAAGATGGTAATTCACTTTTAATACGTGTTTTTAAAAGACAATGACCACCAGCTTCCACAATGGAAAAGACCAACGTCTACCATCTTAAGTTTTTCCTAGAAGATCATTCAACCAAGCACTTTACTGAAACAAAGAATTCTCAGGTATCCAAAGAACAATTTATCTACTTACCTATAGGAACTATTGATGCTTATTTCCTATGGTGTCTTGATAAACGGACTAAAACTGCTTCACCAACTGTTTGCTATACACAAGTATTTAAATTCCAGTATTGTATTTAAAACAAATATGTAAATAAAATGACTTGAGTTATTAATAAATAAAAAATAAAAAATAAAACAAGCATTTACCTTCTATCTCCACCAAAGGTTCTTGGGTAAACTCCTGAAAGAATTTGTAGAAAAACTTACTGCAAGCAGCCAAAACAGCCTTGTGAGCTTTAAAATGGTGTCCTAGATAAAAATTAAAAAAAAAAGAAAATCATACACAAGCACAAAAATTAAATGTATAACTATAAAAGAGATTTTAAAATCATAAAAAGCAAAATAGGCCTTTCTTGATAATTACATAACTATAAAATTATTGAACTAAATGCAGAATATTCTTGGCAGCTATCTTGGCAAATTTTAATCTCAAATATTAAGCTAAATCTTCACTTCAAACACCTTAAGTTAGTTTTATAAAGGCTAATTTACAACACTAAATAAGGAGCCTCTTACCACTTTGTTATTTCGAATTAGTGAGAAGCATATTCAATTCAGTTGAAACAGCTAAATAAAAGGACAACCCAAAAGGTCACATATCATTTGGAAAGAGAGAAAAAGCCGTAAGCACAAAGCTGGATATGTCTGCTATGAAAAACATTTTAATATGCCTAATATTTGAAAGCTCAATCTATGGTAGACCTATAATTTTAAAAGCAGCTTATCTTAAGAAACCTATTTTCACTAAACAGAAAAGATATCCAAGCTAGATTTGCTTCTATTACAGTGGCAACTCCTAAGACTGTAAAGACCCATTTTATTTTGGAGATTCCCAAAGGGGGTATGAGTGCTGCAAAGGAATCTCTCACATTCTCCCTCCAAGACCATTTGGGAAACCAGAAAAGAATCAACTTCCCAAATGCCTCCTGTGAGGGACTTCTCAAAGCAGCTTACCAACAAGAGGCTATCAACCAAACATTTTGAGACGTCCTATCCCCAACGCCATCATATTGCACTCAAGTGCAAAGAGAAAACTTCAACAGGATGCAAGAAGTTAAAATGAGAGGAACACCAGACTACGTGGAAAGCGTGACTGGCCAACCAGCCTTCTGCAGCACGCTCTGTGTGAGTGGACACTGACAAGTGCAATCTGGTCCCAGTGTACACACTCTGAAGACTTTGGTAGGGAGACCATACAGGATGGGTTTAAAGAAAAAAAGGCGGGTGTCCGCAGGACAGAGAAAAACTAAAGCCAAAAATTCGTTCTTCTGCCCACTTCCCTACCCACCGTCGACAATCAGGGTGATGTCAGTAAACCGGTCCTGCTCTCGCTGTTCATTCAATCGGTCGAGGATCATTTTATGATGTTCAGGGAACTCCTGAAGGCATTCCATCGTCTCTTCAGCCTCCATGGCCGTCGGGTTGCTCTACAAAAGAAGAGCATGATAATGTACACCCATGAGCTCGGGTTGAGGAACAAAACCCCTAAAGCATAAAACAACAACAACAAAAAAACCCAGCAACGTGAAAAGAAGGGGGGAGGGTGAGGCAAGAGGAGAGGAAGGCGAGGGAAGAAAGAAAGGCGAGCCGAGAGGCGCCCAGCGTTGGGGGCCGGAGCCGCGGCCGCGGGACTCCGAGCCTGACCTAATTGGAGTCGGGAGACGCGAGCTGGAGCGGGGTGGGCACAGCGCCGGAGGCTCAGAGCGCCGGGGCGCGCAAGTCCGACAAGGGAGGGGACTCGACAGCCGCGAAGGCCCTCTAACGGCCCGCCCAGCGCTTCTGCCCAGCCCGGGCTCCCGCCGCCCCGGGACCCGGTCCGGCCCGCGGCCCACAACGACTCTCGGGTCGCCTCTCCCTCCCCCGCCCTCCCTCTTCTCCCCCGCCCCGACCGGGCCGGCACTCACTGAGAGAAGGAGGGGCGGCCCAGGCTTGCGCATCACTTACGTCGACGTACGGCGTCACCGCGTCGGGCTCCGGCTGACGCCAACGGCTTCCGGGCGCCGACCAGCGGGGGAACGGGCCACGCCCCTACCCACACCCCTCAGTGGATGGGCGGGCCCGAGCGCGGGGATTTGGCGCTCACTAAGGGCGAGGACTTGCGTTCAGAAAGGAAACCGGGCTGCGGGGTACTTGGGCTCGTTTGGGGACTGGCTGTGCCAGAAGCTGGGAACCTAAGTCGCCGCCATTCCACCTCTCACCGCCCCGCAGCTTGACTCCCGGTGCCGACACTTTCCGACTTGAACCTAGAATGAACTCGCCAAACGTCCTCCCAGCCCAGCTGCTGCGCGGCCCCTCCCGCCCCGTCGTTCCCCGCCCCCTTCCTTCCGAGACCTAGGTCCGTCCGCCTTACCTAGCTCGTGATCCGCCCTTTTTCCTCTCTGTGCCTCCGAGCTTCTGGTTCAGTGCTTTTCCCTCCCTGGGCATAATGCGCCCCACACTTTTCCCGATCCCTGACCCATGGCTCGCCCTCCATTTTCCCCGCAAGAGCCGCGACTCTCCCTCTGCTCGGGCCCAGCTGGCGCACGTGTACTAGGTTGGACAGCGGCACCAACAGCGGTAGCGACGGGCGCGAGCACGTTCGGGTCGCCGGTGATCTTCCTCCGCGAAGCGCGCCCTCTCGGCTCCTGGCCGCAGCACGTGTTCGCTGGGCTTAGCACCTGGAGCTGCTCAGAATTATTTACACCGGGTGCCCCGACTGCAGGTCCCGACTCCTTTAAAGAGTCTAGTCAGGCCGCGGTGTCTCACGCCTGTAATCTCAGCACTTTGGGAGCCCGAGGCGGGCGGATCACTTGAGGTCAGCAGTTCGAAACCAGCCTGGCCATCATGGCGAAACACCGTCTCTACTAAAAATACAAAAATCCGCCGGGCGCGGTGGTGGGTACCTGTAATCCCAGCTACTAGGGAGGCTGAGGCAGGAGAATCGCTTGAATCCGGGAGGCGAACGTTGTAGTGAGCCGAGATCGCGCCCTTGCGCTCCAGCCTGGGCGACAGAGCCAGCCTCTGTCCCCCACCTTAAAAAAAAAAAAAAAAAAAAAAAAGAGTCCAGAGTCCAGCACAGTCGGCTGCATGTAACTGTTTCCTTCATTCCTCCAAAGAAATATATGTATTAGTATTGATACATTTTGAGGATAATCCTATACTTGAGATTTACTTATTCTTTTCCCTCAAAGAATTTGAGAATTGGGATTAGGGAGGGACTCAAATAGCTATATGCAAGGGTGAATGTAATCATCATTTCAACAGACATGTATTGAGAGTCCTAGCACTGAGAAATCCAGCTACGAACAAGGTATATGTGGCTTCTGCCTTTCTGAATCTTAAGTCTAGTAGAGTCCATAGATATTTTGAACAGTAATTGCCTAAATGCTTACTGGTGAGTTTTGCAACACGTGAAGAACGAAGTAACTGGGTGTCAAGGAAAGCCAATGACCTATAAAAAGAGATGTGGGCCAGCGCGGTGGCTCACGCTTGTAATCCCAGCGCTTTGGGAGGCCGAGTTGGGGAGGAGGGGTTGAGCCCAGGAGTTGGATTTTTTTTTTTAAGTGATGTGACGTCTTAGTGGTCCCAGTCAAAAAGGTAGAGCACATGCGAAGGCGCCAAGATTATAGCATTCAGGAAACTGAAAGAATGTTGCTTGATAGACGCACAAGGGTGCCTTTTAAACTGTTCAAAATGTTAGATTTTCTTTTTGCAAGGGGAAGCCTTAACGCATGGTGATAGCCTAATATTTACTTTTTAAAGACATAATTTTAGCCCCAATATGGAGCACAGACAAGCTGCTAGGAGTAGGGACCAATTCAGAGACTGTTAGTAATGTAGATAAAACCATGGCGGAAAATGGAATTAGAGGTGAGGACAGAATCTAGACATAGGCCAAGTGCAGCGGCTCAGGCCTGTAATTCCAGCACTTTTGGGAGGCCCAGTGGGGGAGGATTGCTCCAGCCCAGGCGTTCAAGACCAGCTTGGGTGACATGGTGAAACCTCATCTCTACAAAATACAAAAAAATTAGTGATGTTGTGCACCTGTAGTCCCAGCTACTTGGAAGACTGGGATGGGAGGATAGCTTGAGCTCAGGAAGACTGAGGCTGCAGTGAGCTGAGATGGTGCCACAGCACTCCAGTCTGGACAACAGAGTGAGACCCTGTCTCAAAAAAAAAACCTAGAGATAGAACCAACATTGGCTGTAAAGCATGCCATAGATGCAAATATTGTTGGATATATTGGTAAAAAGGGAGAAGGAATAGTCAAAGATGGCTCCTGAATTTCTGGCTTGGGCCAGTAGATTATTGGCACCATCTACAAAAATAGGAAATAGAACTGGAGGAGCTGGATGGGGAGAGAGGATGGAATGAGAGGGATTATTATAAGGAGATGATGTCAGAGGCACTTGGATATATGGGCCTGTATATAGTTTAGGGAAGAAGATTAACTGTAGAGATAGAGATTTGCAAGTTTACAGCATAAAATGAATATTGAAGTGATGAGAATAGATGGGATTGTTTGAAGAGAATCTGCAGGGGTGATAGGCTGACAGCTTGTAGATTTAATTAGTGTTTTAAAATATTATCATCAACCAGGTGTGTGGTGGCTCACACTTGTAATCCCAACAATTTTGGAGGCTGAGGTAAGCGGATCACGTGGTCAGGAGTTCAAGACCAGCTTGACAGACATGGTGAAACCCTGTCTCTACTAAAAATACAAAAATTATCTGGGCATGGTGATGCGTGCCTGTAATCGCAGCTACTTGGGAGGCTGAGGCAGGAGAATTGCTTGAACCCACAAGGCGGAGGTTGCAGTGAGCCAAGATCACGCCACTGCACTCCAGCCTAGGTGACAGAGTGAGACTCTGTCTCAAAAAATAAAAAATAAAAAATATATATATAATCATTGTTATTCACACAGCTTTTTTTTTTTTTTTTTTTTTTTTTTAGACAGAGTCTTGCTTTGTTGCCCAGGCTGGAGTGCAGTGCCACAATTTTGGCTCACTACTGCAACTTCCACCTCCTAAGTTCAAGCAATTCTCCTGCCTCAGCCTCCTGAGTAGCTGGGATTACAGGTGCCCACCTCCACACCTAGCTAATTTTTTCTATTTTTAGTAGAGACAGGATTCCCCCATGTTGGCTAGGCTGGTTTTGAACTCCTAGCCTCAAATGATCCACCCGCCTCAGCCTCCTAAAGTGCTGGGATTACAGGCATGAGCCACCGAGCCCAGCCACAGTATTTTTTAAGATGAAGAAATTGTACATAAAAATAGACTTTTTGGAAATTCCAGTATCAGGGCCATTTTTCTTGTACAGCAATTGAATTTGACCAAATGGAGAATGCATTTCTTTTTAATTTAATTTAATTTTTTCCTTTTCTTTTCCCCTGTGGTATTTCAGGATGGAGAACCCTTTTCTACATAAGATTTGAGCTGTCTGGTTTACTACAGTCGCCACCAGTTTCTAATGTTTTAGACTCAGCTATCATTCATTTTTGCTATTTGCTTAGTCGTAAGGCATTTCAGTTTGGTACTCCTAGTCTATAGGGTCAGAATGGAAGAGAGTGTATGTCTTTTTACTTAAAAAGTATCAACATTTGTGGATTGAGTAAGAAAGGAAGGACCTGAAAGGATTGAGTATTGCAACTGAAGAAAGATGGAAAACTGGAAGAGTATGACATCAGTAAGGCCTCAAGAGGAGAGTGTTTGAAAAGAGAGTGTGTGGGCTGGGCACAGCGGCTCATACGTGTAATGCCAGCACTTTGGGAGGCTGAGGCTGCAGATCACCTTAGGTCAGGAGTTCGAGACCAGCCTGACCAACATGGAGAAACCCCCATCTCTATTAAAAATACAAAATTAGCTGGGCGTGGTGGCAGGTGCCTGTAATCCCAGTTATTCTGGAGGCTGAGGCAGGGGAATCTCTTCAACCCGAGAGGTGGAGGTTGCAGTGAGCTGAGATGGCTCCATTGCACTTCAGCCTGGGACAAGAGCAGAACTCTGTCTCAAACAAAAAAAAGAGAGGGTGTGATTAGCAGTGCCAAATGCTGCCAAGCGGTCAAGCTAAAAAAAGATTGGAAATGGTCTGGTATATTTAGCATCATGTATGTCTTTGGCAGAAGACCTTAGCAAGAAAAGGTTTAATGGAGTTCTGAGGGGAAGAAAAGGGAGGTAAGAAGTCTATATTCAGGTAGGTTAAGGAATAGCTAGGAAAAGAAATTGGGACAACAATTTTAGAACTCTCATTTAAAAATGAGAGAAGAGATGAAGGGAGTACCTGTAGAGTCTAGCCAGTTTTACTATTTTTGTGTTTGGATGGGAGAGACTCAGGCTATTTAAATGATGAGGGGGAAGGATTCAGTGGAGGAAGAAGATAAAAGTACAAGAGGAAAAGGAGCTAATTGTACAAAACAGGGATTAATGGATTGATAGTTCTTGGGAGTGTAGATTTGCTTTCAAGAAGTTAAGGAAATTTCTCTCAAACTGAAGACCTCTGTTTTCTTCCTGAAAGAGGTGACAAGGTCAGCTACTAATAAGTCAAGAATAGGAGAGAAAAAGTGTATGTTTTGGGGATGGAGAAGTTTGAGATTGGAAGATGTATTCATTATTGAAGGCAGTATAACCATCAGAAATCCTACTGGCTTAAAACAGTATTATTATTTAATAGTTTTTGTGGGTCAGAAATCTAAGTATTACATAGCTGAGCTTTCTGGGTCACTCACTAGGCTCCAATCGAGTCATCAGCTAAGGTGGCTTTAATCTCAAGGCTCCACTGGGGAAGGATCTGCTTCCAAGGTCTCTCAAGTGGTTCTTGACAGAATTCAGTTCCTCCCCGGCTTTCAGACTGAAGACTTCAGTTCTCCACTGAAGTCTGTTCATGAAGTCTCCACAAGGCCTCTGTTCATGCCAGGTTCTCCATAGGACATGGCAGCTAGATTCCATCAGAGTGAGAGGGCAAAAACGGGTGAGCAAGACAGAAACCAAAGTCTTCTTGTATTCCAATCTCAGAAGTGACATTCCATCACTTTTGCTGTATTCTGTATTTTAAAAGCAAGCCACCAGGGCCATCCTACACTCAAAGGAGAGTAATGACACAAAGGCACAAATAGCAGAAGGCAAGATCATTGGGAACAGTCATAGATGCTGCCTACCACAGTACAGAATGGAAGGGATTTGAAATGGACCCTGGACACAGTAATATCACAGTTGCATCAACAGGAAGCACGGTAAGAACAGCATGCTGGGCCGGGCATAGTGGCTCACGCCTGTAATCCAAGTACTTTGGAGGCCAAGTCAGGCGGATCACCTGAGGTCAAGAGTTCAAGACCAGCCTGACCAACATGGTGAAACCCCGTCTTAAAAAAAAACAGCATGCAGTAGGAGTTGGTGGCCAGGAATTTATATGATAGCAGTTTGCCAGACATGATTTCCACTAGTAGCATTTGCAGTCAGGTACATATGGTAAGTGACTTAGAATGAGTTAGTGTTAAAACATAGTTCCCTTTGGTGCAGATGTTGTGCCAGTTAATAATAAGCTTTATAGATTTTCTGTGGAATCAAAATAGATTATTCAAACTTAGTAAGAACTGATAGATAGTTCTGGCTACCCTAGTGGTATCCCTTTATATGTTTCAAGGCAACATTAGGAAGGAAATAATAGAGTGGCTAAAGGTTGGTTTGACAGCCTGAGTTGAAATCTTGTTTCAGCTTAATAGCTGGGTGATTTCAGGCAAGTAGTTTAACTTCATTAAGCTTCCATTTCCTCACCTTTGAAACAGTGTTGTGGGAAGCAAATGAGGTAACATACGGGAAGCACTTGGGTTAGTAGCTGGTATAAATTAGCTTTCAGCAGTCATCTTATATTCCAGCATAACATTTACATTCTACCTGTTGAACTGGGGGGGGAAAAAAAGGTAGCCATTCGCGGTAGCTCACGCCTGTAATCTCAGCACTTTAGGAGGCTGAGGCAGGTGAATCACTAGGTCAGGAGTTGGAGACCATCATGACCAGGTGAACCCCATCTCTACTAAAAA